GACTCAGATATGCACATTAAACAATATACTTTAAGGTAACTTTTCTTCAATGATAAGGCATTGAAGACGTTATTTTCATACTCTTTTCTGCTAACACCCCCTCCCCCTCCAAAATAGTACAAAATTAAATGATTGTTGCGAATTTAAGAATACAGTATTTTATTTTATTTTTTGCAGATGTGATTTACTGTTCCGTTTAATACCAATTCCTCCTTACACCAACTACATTCAAGAGAAATCATTGTCAAATGTACGTTCAATCATCTGCGGATTTTGAATAGCTGTTTCTAAAATTGCAACTGTACATCTAAAACGTTTAATTGATGGTTTCCTGTTTGCTTTAAAGAATTTATTAATGCAAAGTGAAAAAAAAAATATATTCACATAGTGTCTTAACACTGTGTAAAGTGTATCATTGCAACAGTTGTAATGAGCTATTTTCAGTTTAAGCCAGATGTTGAATTGCTGATTGACTGTAGGCAAAGGAGAGAATTTACCAAATTTGCTGCTTTCAATTCTCTGAATAAGTATTGCTTTGGTCTAGGACCTGGTCATAGTTTACTTTTCTAAAACTATTTGAACAGTTTTCTATGTATGCTGTAAACCCAAAAGGTCAAAATGTGTAATAATTATTATGCATGTTCCTTTATTTTTATGGACACTGGACTGGACCTAAATGTTGAGTAAAGCTTAAAGGCACTGCAGATGGTATTTCAATTTTCAATTGTTGTGTAACAAACAGAACATCACATTTCTCATTAAGGCAAAGAGGAAAAGCCCTATTATTATTATTATTATTATTACTACTACTACATTGTACAGAGTGTAAACATTATTTTTTTATGATTAATTTCAAATAATGTTGACTTGATTTTCATGTTCTCCGGTTTTTATTTCTGGTCACTATCCTTGATTTTTTTTTGTAGCAGTAACTAAAATATGATTATATACGACACTTCAAAGTTCACATTTTCTTTTTCTTCTATTCAAGTGGAGTTGAATAGCTTGGTGGTTAAGATGCTTGTCTTCTAATCCCAGGGTCCTGGGTTCAATTCCTGCCAGTTGCAGGATTTTTTCTCACGACTAAAACAACTCCACTCCCTAAATCTCATATGGAGATTTAGTTTGTGTAAAGCATCGTGTGTGTATGTTTGTCTTGTGTAAGGGATTGTCACCTACAAGTAGGATAGTGATATATTCGCTGTTGACAATCCTTGGCACATGCATTGTGTGCCTAAATAAATAAATAAAATAAATAAAATAAATAAATATTTTTTTTTGTTTTTTTGTACATGTACGTAAATACAGTGATATGCTTATTCTAAATTTGATATAACCTGGATTAACCTGAAATAACATCGACATCGACTTTTCTAATACTGAATTGATATTTTTCAGTGATTTTGGATTTTAAGTGAAGGTATTTTGCTTTAGATGAGTTATTTTGTAACAAACTATCTGTAGGCAAAAAAATAATACTGCTTTAATTTAAAAAGTTTGATATGATAGTATCATTATTCATCACATGTGAACTGTCACTTACAATATTCGAAGACTTGCCAAACCACTGAAAACACCTTGGTTTAGATGAGTTATTTTGTTGTTACCCAAGTCCCTTTAAAAAAAAACAAAAGAATCATAATCATTAAGCAAAAGTAAACAATATAAAACACAAAATGAAGTTGTACATTGCTGTTTATTTTATGTTTTATTTACACTTACACGATAATTATGCCTTATAACGAAACTTATTATTACCATGTTAAATTCAATAGGATAAAAAACAAAAAAATGACCGAACACCATTATTACTACATTGCACAGCACCTGACAAACAAATTTCATGTGAACCACGATGTGTATGTTGACCAATAAACATACATTTTTTGTATAAATGTATAATTATTTGCGTAAAAAGTTGACACTGATTTCTCAAGGCCGACAGACTTTCTATTTGTTAAATTATACAATTTTATGAAAATAATAACACCTGATAAAATTGTTACCTTTGATAGGCAAATAAGCCTTTTTTTGAAAAAATATACTACTCAACACAAATAACTAGACGTAGGCTAAACCTAGGCCTGGAATGACCGGGCATTGAAGGCGCCCTTAGCGCGTTCATCCCATATGCCTATTGCTGTCGTAGATAAAATAATCGTATCGGAAAAAGCAGTACACATTACGTAAATTCATTCATTTTTGTAACCATCACCTAATAATATAACTAGGACCAATGTAATCATATAATATTGATGTATTCTGTAGCAATAATTGTATAACTCGAATAATAGTGATGTAAACACATTAAGTGAAAATATATGGATGATTTTTCAACTTGTGTTTGTTTACCATTTTGTGGCGCTGTTCATCGTCTATTTTTTCTACTTCCGCATTCACTGACAGTGATTTATTTCGATAAATTAAACTTTATGATAATTTATTTACAATTTTATCACAATTTTTCAGTTGGATAGTGAATTATTATTCAAATGTATGTAATTTTGAATCGCAAATGGGGATGTATGATATCAGAAAGTTAAGGAAACTTCGACTATAATAATGCTTTGAAAATTAGCTGATTTTGAGCGATAGCGAAAAAAATTCTGAGCTCCCGCGGTCTGGCCAATCCCTGATGAGTTTCATCTGCTAACACTAAGGGCGCTGGACTTTTCTAAATTTATACGTAGACAGGAACAGCTGTGTTTGGTGTGTCTTTGAAGGTTTTGTAATCAATGATCTTTATTCTGTTTTGAACCAAGTACCTGATGTATATTTTATTATCCGTATATTTGTGCATTTACAATCAATTTTTTTTTTGGGAAAAGTGGAAATCTAAAACAAAAAATGTATAATAGGTAATACCTCGGATACTTACAGAGTTTCCAGGCTCGTTGTATCTTTGAAGGTTCCGACATTAATGACTTCTATTCTATTACCACCTAAATACCTAAAAACGAATAATAAAATGTTGATAATTGTTATTAATATTATAGCGTGATATCTGTATAATACAGACATCGGATTATGGCCTAATATTAGAATGTGTATGGTCGTAAAGGTAAAGTACGTTCATAAACGTCATTAACAAAATTGTCTGCCAAGCTAAATGCATTGTTTAGTGTGTGTTTTCAAAGATTGCTCTTAAGAAAATATAAATTTGTAAAAAGATTTAGCAAAACAACAAACTAGACGTTTCGCTTACATATGATTTTTGAAGTTATACGATCTTTAGGTAAGAAATATCAACGGATGGCCTTGTATATGAGACGATGGTGAATTTAAGACATGTAAATGTTGTCGATTTTATTGCTTACGATAGTTGGTCTTTATACCATTAATGTTAATATATAATAGGTAATACCTCTTATACTTACAGATTTTTCAGGCTCGTTGTATCTTTGAAGGCTCCGACATTAATGACTTCTATTCTATTACCACTTAAATACCTAAAAACGAATATTAAAATGTTGATAATTTTTATTAATATTATAGCTTAATATCTGTATAATACAGACATCAGATTATGGCCTAATATTAGAATGTGTATGGTTGTAAAGGTAAAATACGTTCATAAACGTCATTAACAAAATTGTCTGCCAAGCTAAATGCATTGCTTTTAGTTTGTGTTTTCAGAGATTGCTCTTAAGGAAATATATATTTGTAAAAATAAGAGATTTAGCAAAACAACAAACTAGACGTTTTGCTCACATACGATTTTTGAAGTAATACGATCTAGGTAAGAAATATCAACACGTGGCCTTGTATATGAGACGACGGTGAATTTAAGACTTATGTAAATGTTGTCGATTTTATTGCGTACGATAGTTGGTCTGTATACCATTAATGTTAATGTATAATAGGTAATACCTCGGATACTTACAATGTTTCCAGGCTCGTTGCATCTTTAAAGGTTCCGACATTAATGGCCTTTATTCTATTACCACTTAAATCCCTAAAAACAAATATTAAAATGTTAATATTTTTTATTAATATTATAACTTAATATCTGTACAATACAGACATCGGATTATGGCCTAATATTAGAATGTGTATGGTCGTAAAGGTAAAGTACGTTCATAAACGTCATTAACAAAATTGTCTGCCCAGCTAAATGCATTGTTTAGTGTGTGTTTTCAGAGATTGCTCTTAAGGAAATATAAATGTGTAAAAATAAGAGATTTAGCAAGACAACAAACTAGACGTTTCGCTCACATACGATACTTAAAGTTATACGATCTTTAGGTAAGACATATCAACGGATGGCCTTGTATAAGAGACGATGGTGAATTTAAGACTTATGTAAATGTTGTCGATTTTATTGCGTACGATAGTTGGTCTTTATACCATTAATGTTAATGTATAATAGGTAATACCTCTTATACTTACAGTGTTTTCAGGCTTGTATCTTTGAAGGTTCCGTCATAAATGGCTTCTATCCTATTACCACTTAAATACCTAAAAACGAATATTAAAATGTTGATAATTTTTATTAATATTATAGCTTGATATCTGTATAATACAGACATCGGATTATGGCCTAATATTAGAATGTGTATGGCCGTAAAGGTAAAGTACGTTCATAAACGTCATTAACAAAAATTGTCTGCCAAGCTAAATGCATTGTTTATTGTGTTTTCAGAGATTGCTCTTAAGGAAATATAAATTTGTTAAAATAAGAGATTTAGCAAAACAACAAACTAGACGTTTTGCTCACATACGATTTTTGAAGTTATACGATCTATAATCAACACGTGGCTTTTTACTATGAGACGATGGTGAATTCAAGATGTATGTAAATGTTGTCGATTTTATTGCGTACGATAGTTGGTCTTCTTTGTCACAATATTTAGGATATTTCATTCTACTTTGCAGCACTGCTAACTGAATCGTGAACTAATGAATATGCATAGTTGTATGACTCAAGTTAAAACGGTCTGTGAATGGAAATAAGGTACATGAATATTAATGAGGTTAAGGCAAAGTGGCAGTGTATGATTCGTGCATTTAAGTGGAGTGTAAAAGTATGCAAATGTATTTAAAATGGTTAGTTTAAAGGTATCTAGCCAGGAGTTGAAGAGAGAATATCTTGAAGGAAATATGTCGACTGATGAGTGTCGGTTAAAGGACATATCAGTCGAGGCACATTTTAAGATAAAAGTACAAGGCTTATATGTAAAAGCTTAAGGTAATTATACGTGAGTGATAGCTGAAGTAAGAGAGCTTCACAGTATTTTTGAATCAAGAAATGAAGTAAAGAATCGACCGTGAGTACTGTTAATAGTTGATAAATCAGAATATCTACCTATTGGCATATATAGGGTAGTAGTACTAATAGTGCATGTATTTTGATATGTTATGGGAAAACTTACCTCCAATATGTATATACATATATAGATATATGCTATGTATAATATGTTAAAGCGTATTTTGATAGAAAAGGAATACCATTAGCATCACATTCTATATAAATGTTGTATTCATTTATAGATGGTCGGAGGAGGTAGAGCCAAGTAGCCTATACTCAAGACTTATGTACCAAATATACTAAAGTGATATTGCAGACTGAGGGAAAAGCCCTAGCAGTTAGCAAGACTTAGTAGATGATCTGTACTTCGAATGCACTATTACAGTGATAAAGATTTTGGGAGGTAGCACAACACTTTGTCATTGGATATGCAAAACCAACTTTTATTTAATTAAAACCAGTTGATTTTATATATATATATATATTGTTTCTATGTCTTATGTCCGGTCAATGTCGTGACATTCTTACCGTAAATGTTAATGTATAATAGGTAATACCTCAGATACTTACAGTGTTTCCAGGCTTGTTGTATCTTTGAAGGTTCCGACATTAATGGCTTCTATTCTATTCCAACTTAAATACCTAAAAACGAATATTAAAATGGTGATAATTTTTATTAATATTATAGCTTGATATCTGTATAATACAGACATTGGATTATGGCATAATATTATAATGTGTATGGCGGTAAAGGTAAAGTACGTTCATAAACGTCATTAACAAAATTGTCTGCCCAGCTAAATGCATTGTTTAGTGTGTTTTCAAAGATTGCTCTTAAGGAAATATAAATTTGTAAAAATAAAGAGATTTAGCAAAACAACAAACTAGACTTTTCGCTCACATACGATTTTTTAAGTTATACGATCTATATTGCCGTGATTGGGAAGAACGCACTATAAGCCAAAATCATAGTTTTAGGATATTGAGCAAAACGCGTTTCTTGTTAGACTTTTGTTATGGAAATGAATTATATTGAATTTTTTGTGTAAAGGAACTACAAAACAGAAAAACATACTGAAGTACTTTATTTAAATGTTTTTTTTTTCTATAGCCCACTCAAAATGGACATAATGTGCTTTTCCAAATTAAAACAAAGCCACTGAAACATGAAAAATATGATGTTAAGCATTATATCCAGTTTTCCAGTAGAAAGCATGCATTATTCTTTACTTAAGGACTAATGAAAAATAACAAATTAAAGTGAATTTTCACCAGGACTTTAGAGGTTTAAATTCCATTATGTTTTAATAACTTACTTAAAAAAAACCCCCAACAAATCCTCAATAAAATGTTGATAATTTTTATTAATATTGTATCTTGAAATCTGTAAAATACAGACATGGGACTATAGACTAATATTATGAGAATGTGTGTGGTTGTAAAAAAATAAAAAGTCAAGTACATTTATTAATATCAACATTTATGTCTGCCAAGCAGAATGTATTGTTTGTGTGATTTCAGAAGTTGTCAAATAGCCTTAAATTTGTAAAAATAACAGATTTAGCAAAGCAAACAGCTATAACGTTTCGCTAACATACGATGGTTGAATACGTCTAAACTTACAATCTGTACTCAACAATATCAACACAATGCCTTGTGCATGAGAAGATTTAAGACTAATGTATATGATGTCGATTTTATTGCATAAGATTCTTGGTTTAATTTTATTTCAAAGTCTGTTAAGGTAAGGAAAATATTACAGAAAGACTTTAAAAAAAAGTCTTAATAAAAAATCTTTCAATATGCAAGTTTTAGCCAGTCTACAGAGAAACAGATGCAGACATAAGGAAGTCGTATTTCCTCCCGTAATTACCATTGGGATGCGTGTAGTTACTTCGAAATCGGATTGTCTGCGCCGCCAAAACTCCGGGTTTGGAGGTTTTTTGCGTACTGTACGCGAAAATTCCAAAATCAGAGTTTTCAAACTTTTAATCAAACCTCAGAATTCAGAGTTTCTGCGTGCTATTAATTAAACAAGATCTCCATATATAGAGAGAGCAAAACTTTTTAAGAACCCTCCGATTTTACTATACGCGAAACATCCTCCTACTATACGCGGCTCCCCCACCCCCACTTTTTACACAGTGTAAAATTTTTAAACCTTTTTTTTGAGCCAATACAAATTATTTTCTGGGACCACTCAAAATGAATACTTCTAAAATACGTAAAAATGCATCAGTACTCGTTTTACATAGGCCTGGCCTACTATAATTATAACACATGTCTAAGCGTGATTTTTTAAAAATCTATAAATCTCATGCCAAGTCTTTTAAGATTCAGAAATGTGATACTGTATGGTTCAGTTTGGTTTTTACCCTTTTGCAAGCTTCAACAATAGGGCCTATTGTTCAATAATACTATACTATTAGTAATAATAGTAATTATTATTATTATTATTATTATTATTGTTGTTATTGTTATTATTATTATTATTATTATTGGTGGTGGTGGTGGTGGTGGTGGTGGTGGTGGTGGTTGTGGTTGTGGTGATTGATAGTAATATTATTATTAAAATGTGAAGGAAATTGTGCTAAAGGCAAAAAATAAAGTGATTTGTGGATGATAATATTATAGTTAAAGCTTATATAGTAAATTATAGTTATGTCCTGGATATCAAGTAGATCCCTGATTTAAAGTACATGAGAAATTTGTTGGCGTTCCATTTTGACTATGTAATGGTGATGTGATGGTGATGAATTTTACTACGTGAAAGTGTGATTTCCGGCCATCTAGAGGTACTACTTCCTCAAATTTTCTCACCTCAGCCCCACCATAGTTGGTTGTGAAATCACGGTTTTGAAGTATGTAAAGAACACACTCAAAGACAATGTTTTTAAGCTTTGTTTACTATGGTATATCACACACATTAATAAGATCTTTTTGGTTGCAGAAACTCCTTGATAAAAAAGACCATGAGATTTTTTTTTGGCGCTTAATTTGGACTACCGGTAACGGTGATGTGATGATAATGAAAATTTACTAAAAGTGTTGTTTCTGGCCATCTAGCTAGAGGTACTATTTCCTCACATTTTCGCTTCTCAGCTCCAACCATGGTGAGTCTGAGGTAGGTGCCGACTCACAAAATGTCCTCCCCCTCAACCTTAAAAAACAGATCTGCGCTCTTCTGGGTATGACATTAAACTGCATCGAGTCGGCACCTGACTCAGAGTATGTCTTGTGACTGCTGAGAAGAGGGGGCATCAATTTGCTTTTTTGGTTTTTCATGCCCCTTTTTCGTGATTATGACTATTTTAGATAATATTTTTTATTTTGAATGAAAAAAAAGGAAAATATATTCAAATTTAAGTATGAAAGTGTAATTTCTGGCCATTTAGAGGTGCCCTAATCATAAATTTTCTTACCTCAGCCCCAACCATGGTGGGGCTGAGGTGGGTGGTTTCTCCCTGCGACACCTATCTTTCGAATCCATGGATGTGTCTAATACAATTGTCACTTTATCCTCTCAAAACAGTCCTTAAAACGTTCAGAGTGCATTACTTCACGGGGGTGGGGGTCGTCCCCTGGACCCCGCCGGGGTCGTACGTATCTCCCATAACGGCTCCCCCTTTCAAAATCCTGGCTACGTCCATGACTTCTATCTTCAAAAATTGTCTTTTTACCTACTGTGCGCGCTCCTAACATATCTTACGATTCTTTTACATCCAGTTCTCTTACTAATTACTCCAGTTTTTAGCATTTTAATAATAAAAACAACGTTCTTTCCCAGCGATTCATGACGATAGCGACTCGCAATGTTTGTTTATAAATAATTAATTGCCAGGTTGTTATCCAACTTTAAGGACAGTTCTGTTCGTTGCCAGGTTTTCTTTTTTTTTTTTTTTTTTATTATTTTGTTAAAGCGATGCCTTTTCATAAATTGTTATTTGTATTTTTATCTGTATTGTTTATATCGTTGTTCTGGTACAGCGCAATATTAATAATGACATATTACATTTAGGGACAACAGCTATTATTTCTTCGGGAAAATCTGACCCCTCATCGGGGCTTCACTGCATTTAGGACATTGCATTTAGGACATTTATTACATTTAGTCCCAAAATTCATAGAACATTTATTATATTTAGACACAAAAATTATTACACATAGAACTTTTATTACATTTAGACCCTAAAATGCAATACCTGTATTATATTTAGACCCAAAAATTATTACAATCAATCATTTGTCAATCATGGCCATTATTATACTTAGGACATTGCACTTAGGACCTACATCTATTTATGTATACATTCTTTCATAATGTATGCATGTTCTGCTGCCTTCCTTTTCCCTTCTTTCACGAGCCATCAAAATTGTCATACTGTTTTAGTATAGTCTTGCGCTCTACAATAAGTTCTGAATATCTGAAGCTTCATTTTTGATTTACTAATTCTGGCAACACCAAATCATAAAGTTTGAATTCTGGCAACAGCATTAGGCTCGATCGCCAATTCGCCATTGGAGACTACGGATGGAGCCATATTAGGCGTTAAAAGCCATGGTTTTCAGTATATAAAATGCTAAAAACCGATGTTATTAAGCAGAATCTGAGTGGAGAAACATCGCAAGATATTGTTAGGAGCACACAGTAGGTAAAAAGACAAGTTTTGAAGATAGAAGTGTTACAGTACTAAAGTGCATTAGCGCCACTGTGTTTATTTGAGTTTTAATGTTTTTATTGTTTTAAAGAAATTTACTAAGTTTACCTAGGCCTAGGCCCAGAATGAAAAGTGATGATTGTTACCTGGCGGCAAGGTGCGCATGAGATGAAGAAGTATGGTGCGCCTCTTATGACAAATTATTGAGGCGATGCTTTGCTGTTGCACTTTAATTGATTATTGTATTCGAAAGAATAACTGAAACGTTGATTTGTTATCTTCGTTGGCCATAATGTTAACGTGACAGCATAGAATTGTAGTATTGATATAATTGCCTTTTATTAAATAGTTGTTTATTTGTTTTGTTGTAGACTTTACCGTCATCGTAATAAAGGTCAAAGTTGTCTTAATACAGTGTCTTCGTCTGTTGTCCGGATTTGGTAAGATGTCGTCCATCGTGATTGTCATATTATACTGCAGGAGTGCATACAGATGTGCATTGGAATTGGGAAGTAATGGGACTTGTCACCGTCACAGAATTATACATTCTAACTTTTTGACAGTCCAAGCGGATGACACATGCATATTGGTCCCTTTATAAAGCACAAACCTGATGCATTTTTTTGCTTATACAAATTATAGAAATGAAGCGAAAAATGGTTAGTGATTTGTTTAATAATGTTTTATTATTTTTATATTTGAAAAATATACATTTAGAAAATTACATACAGTATTTTAAGTTCAGTGAGGTTTTCGAAAGCGCCGTCAATTGATTGAATTCTGTTTCCTGTAGGAGACCTGCAAAGAAAATATATTAAAGTCATTGATCATAATTAAAAGGAAACAATTTTTGTTATGTTCAAGAGTGTGAATTTAATATGTAGGCCTAGCCTTTATTGATTAGTGATTAAGTAATTGAGACTTCTAATAATTTGCAGTGTCTAGTATTTAATATATTAATTAATAAAATAAGTATAATGTATGATGAATGTATTTTCCCATAAAAAAAATCACTTTTTTTAGATTAACTTGTTCAATTGAAGTGACACAAAAGCGATTAACTTGAACATAGCAATTAATTTTTTTTCAAAATTATTTTCAAAGGCAATTTTAGTGAAAACTTAAAGAAACACAGAAATTGTTTTTATCGTTAATAAACAAAATATTATTAAAAAAAATAACAATAGGGGTACACGTTGTTGGAATTTGATAATTTCTTTGCTGAATTTCGTAATCTGTGTATTATTGCAAAATTAGCAGTTTCATTCCAAAATTTGTATGGATTTTTAAAATTTTTATGGCAAAAATATACCTTTACATCAAAAAACATATTTTGCGCATGCACTATTTTTAAGTCTGTATCAGCCTTCCTAATGGTTAGTTGCTCTGTAGATTATCCGAACTATTTTTCGATTTTTATATAGAATGACACAAGACGCTCTATTTACTTTTGCGGCCTCGGGATTCAGCCTTTGTGTGGGCCTTTTATCTATGCATGCATGCATGCACCCATGCATGTATGTAGTCACTCCATTTTTTGAGTGTCTGCGCCCGCGGCCAAAATTCTGATTTTTGAGGTTTTTCGTACAATACACGAAAACTAAAAAATTAATTAAAAGTTTGAAAACTCAAATTTTGATGTTTTCGCGTATAGTACGCAAAACCCCCAAAATCGGAGTTTTGACGGCGGGCACAGACACTCCGATTTCGGAGTAACTGCACACCTGTCGTATTATAATCAATGAGAATAGAACAAGTGATTACTACATATAAATTTACTGTCAGTCTGAAAATTCTAATGCTACTGTCATTAAATAGTTGTTAAATTGTGATAGGTCAGGTTGGGCAAAATGTTCACTTATACTTAATTCTCCTGACGCAAACTCAGTTATTGTCTATTCCACCATGACAGTAACAATTACCATTCACATTACAGTACCCGCTGCTTACTTTGGCTCGATTTCAAACCCTGGCCATCATGCGTAAGCTCAGTGTTTAGAGGTATGATGCCAGGCTAGTGATTTAGATATCGTTGGTTCGAGTCCCACCCGAGAATAACTTGCGAATTTCTTCCTGTGCCCCCACTTTTTTGCCAAAAATATAAAATGTCTGGATCAAATTTTCGTATGATCGGAAATGCAAGAAAAGGAGGGAAGAATGAGGAGAAGGATGGGAAAGAGAATGTTTATCCAGCACCCGACCGAGTTACTTTTTCTCGCAATTCACATTGGCGGATCTGGGGGAGGGGGTCATGGGTCCTGACCCCTCCCTTGGGCAACAAAAAAAGGGGAAGAAAAGAATTCTAGACCTACCTTTTCAGGATCCGTGAGCTGATTTTTTATTTTTATTTATTTTTTTGTTACAATTAGAAAATTAGAATTTTGAAGAACATAAAAGTCATTAAAACACACTTCAAATGTCGGGAAAGCTCATTTCCCGCCATCTAGGAATCCAAGTTTTCCGGGGGAGAACTCCCGGACCACCCTTTCTTTTTGGGATTTATCGATTCATGGAAAAAAGAATACGCATGCAACTACTCATTTGTTTATGTATGTATACACACATAAAACAAAAAATGAGAAAAATTTACCTGATTTTCAAAAGGGGAAAACCTTGAATTTTGAAGTACTTTGAAAGTCATTAAAAGACATTTCAGAAGTCAGGAAAGCTCATTTCCCTCTATATAGAAATCGAAATTTTCCCGGGGGAACCCGGACCCTTTTATCTTTGGAGTTCATTGATTAATTGAATCATTTTCAAGAAGGGGTAGGGGTAGGGGTAACCTTGAATGTTAAAGAATATAAAAATCATTAAAAGACATCAGAAGTTGGGAAAGCTCATTTCACGCCACCTAGGAATAAAAAAAAAATTTTCCGGGGAAGAACCACAAGACCCCTCCCCCCACCCTTTCTTTTTGGGATTTATCGATTCATGGAAAAAACCGTATGCATCTACTCATTTTTTTGTGTGTATGTATACACACATAAGGCCTATCTACAATACTAACAATGGGAAAAAATTACCTGACCGTTTTCAAGAGAGGAAAACCTTGAATTTTGAAGAACTTAAGTTAAAGTTGCTAAAAGATACGATAAGTCGGGAAAGCTCGTTTCCAACCATTTATAAATCAACATTTTCGCGGGAAGAACCTGAACCTCCCTTTTCTCTTTTAGGTTTTTGATTCATTATAATAATTTTCAAGAGGAGAAAACCTTGTATTTCGAAGAACTTAAAAGTAATTAAAAGACCCAGAAGTCGGGAAAACTCATTTCCCGCCTTCTCTAGGAATCAACATTTTTCTGGGGGAGAACCCCAGACACCCTTTCTTTTGGGGATTCATCGATTTATGGAAAATTCGTATGCAAATATATATATATATTTTTTTTATTTTTATGTATGTATACACACATAAGGCCTATTTACTGTAATAACAATGGGAAAAATTTACCTGACCGTTTTCAAGAAAATATTGCATCTTGAAGAATTTAAAAGTAATTAAGACACCTCAGAAGTCTGAAGAGCTCATGTCCCGCCATCTAGGAATCAACATTTTCCTGGGGGAGAACCCCCGGCCCCCCTTTTCTTTGGAGCTTATCGATTCATTGAAAAGAGAATAAGCAACTACTCATTATTTTTAAATGTATGTATACACACATATAACAGGCCTATTTACTGTAGTGAGAAAGTTTATCTTACCGTTTTCAAGAGGGGGAAAACCTTGAATTTTTAAGAACAAAGTCATTAGACACCTACCTCAAAAGTCGAGAAAGGTCATTTCCCGCCATCTAGAAATCAAATTTTCCTGGGGGAGGAATGTTGACCCCACCACCTAGATTTGATTCCAGATCTGCATGATTCATATTCCCATTCATCTTATAAGTGCCCCCCCCCCCCACCCCTTCATCTTATAAGGGCCCCCCCCCCCCACCACTTTGAAAAACGTTCCGCCGGTATATATATGAGGCGTTGAAACAAGGAATTGAAGCAACGAGCCATGTGGACTATAAAACACTTGTTTATTTCAAAAGAAATTTTCAACCAGTCCTCTGGTCTTCTTTAGCTTACAAAACTAAATGACAAAATGTGACTGATACAAGAGATCTATTATACAAATAAACAATATAATTGTGATTGGCTTAGATTAAGCAGTGATCAAAGCAGTGAATAATGATCAGGGTTTGATAAACAGACGAAAACAAAATTAAAGTATTGATAGCTATTATAGGCTAAAACATTGATAAGCTTAAATATAATTATAATTAAAGTGTTTAAAATATCTGAAAGTCGAACAGCAAAAATATAACTATAATGACGAATATATATACAACGTATAGCAGATAATATAATAAATGGTATAAAGCAACAATGGAAGGCATAGAAGCAGGATATATAGTATATATATATATATATATATAATTATATAGGCCTATATAATGACGAATGGAAAGAGCTGATTTAAGTACTGTATGGAAAATTGTAGTCACTAAGAAAATCAATGTCTTTATTAAGACCTATAATGTGGGTTTTGTGCTTCAGAATGAGTTTATGCTCGGTAACACGGCGATTTTTCACTGATGTAAAGTTGCTAGCTATGAGGGTACATTTGATATCAGTGATGCTGTGTGATTGGGAGAATTAAAATGAGTGACAATGGGAAGGTTTTTACTAGTGCGGATTGACAATTTGTGGTTGTTGAACCTACTTCTAAAAAGTGGCACCGGTTTCTCCTATGTAGGTACCGTGATCACAAACCTTACATATTATAACGTAGATAACGTTAGATGAGTTGCATGACAGAGGAGAAGGATGAATTTTGTGATTGGTGATCGGGAGTGAAATAGTGCTATCTGTTACAATATGCTTGCATATTTGACAACGGGGCTTGTTACATTTTATGTTACCGTGTGAGGGGGTGTATTGGTGGTGCGTGAAGATGTTAGTATGGTTTTTAAGTTGGGGGGTTGACGGTGAAACAAAAGAATGGGGAAAAAAGTGTTTACACCTGTCTCTTATACACATCTAGATGTGTATAAGAGACAGACCCCAGACACCCTTTCTTTTGGGGATTCATCGATTTATGGAAAATTCGTATGCAAATATATATATATATTTTTTTATTTTTATGTATGTATACACACATAAGGCCTATTTACTGTAATAACAATGGAAAAAATTTACCTGACCGTTTTCAAGAAAACATTGCATTTTGAAGAACTTAAAAGTAATTAAGACACCTCAGAAGTCTGAAGAGCTCATTTCCCGCCATCTAGGAATCAACATTTTCCTGGGGGAGAACCCCCGCCCCCTTTTCTTTGGAGCTTATCGATTCATTGAAAAGAGAATACGTAAGCAACTACTCATTATTTTTAAATGTATGTATACACACATATAACAGGCCTATTTACTGTAATGAGAAAGTTTATCTTACCGTTTTCAAGAGGGGGAAAACCTTGAATTTTTAAGAACAAAGTCATTAGACACCTACCTCAAAAGTTGAGAAAGGTCATTTCCCGCCATCTAGAAATCAAATTTTCCTAGAGGAGGAATGTTGACCCCACCACCTAGATTTGATTCCAGATCTGCATGATTCATATTCCCATTCATCTTATAAAAAACTTTGAAAAACGTTCTGCCTGTGTATATATATATATATGAGGCGTTGAAACAAGGAATTGAAGCAACGATTCATGTGGACTATAAAACACTTGTTTATTTCAAAAGATATTTTCGACCAGTCCTCTGGTCTTCTTTAGCTTACAAAACTAAATGACAAAATGTGACTGATACAAGAGATCTATTATACAAATAAACAATATAATTGTGA